AAATAGCGCGAAGCTCTGTCCGCAAACAAGTAACGGATCTCTCGAACAAGAAACAGAGACCGCCGCTTTTGCTTTCGCTTTCGCTTTCGCTCGCTTTCCGCAAGAGAAGCGACTCCCCCTCGAGTTGTGTTTCCCAATTTGGTCAATTTACGAGTTTCAACTCTCAGAATTCCTCAGTCCGCACGTTATTCAGCTTTATAAATGGGAACAGTGACTCAAAATCTTACCCCGAAGCGAAATGGGTGCCAAACAAACAAATTAAACAAACAAACAAACAATTCTCACCAGAAAATATTGCATAAATATAAATTTAATCCAGTACAGTAAAACATTGGGTTAGTTGAAATAAATACTTTAGCTAAATTTATTCAAAATACTAGAATTTTTTTCTAAAATCACTGGGATTTAATACAATTGGCAAAACCAATTTCCAGACCAGTAGGTGAGGGATGTGGATGATTATAGATTCCTGTGTGATGATGATAATAATTGTCCAACCTACCTTGTCAGCTTAATTAGCCATGGTGTGGGAAACAAAAAAGAGCTCTCTTCCTACAACAATTTCCAGATTTACAAGACTTTGGATTGCCCAAGGAAGATAGGACAGAGTGGCTTTGCCTCTGGGTTCCAAATTATTAGAGGAGATAAGATTTTATCCACAGGTAGTCCTTGACTTACGACCACAACTGGGACCAGAATTTCCATTGTAAAGCAAAGCAGTTGTTAAGTGAGTCATTCCTAATTTTAAGACCTTTTTTGTCATGGTTGTTAAGCAAATCACTGCAGTTAAGTGAATCATGCGATCATTAAGTAAATGCAGCTTCCCCCCATTGATTTTGCTGGTGGGAAGCTGGCTGGAAAGATCACAAATGGTGATCACGTGACCCCAGGATGCTGCAACCCTCTTAAATGTATGCCAGGTGCCAAGCACCTGAATGTTGATCATGTGACTGAAGATGCTGCCATGGTTGTAAATATGAATATAGATTTTAAGTCACTTTCTTCACTGCCATTGTAACTTCAAACGGTTGCTAAATGAATGGTTGTAAGTCAAAGGACTACCAGTACTTTTTGCCCCCTGAAACTTGATGTGTATTTTTCATATCTTGGGCTTGCAGATCTCAGCAGCTGCAATTATCCATAATGGAACGAAATGTGCAACTTACCCAAAAAGTTCCTTTTTGTAGTTCACAATGCTCTGTTTGATTGATCTTGCTAAGCCATAGATTAATAATTATCACTTGTTAATTAAGCTACAATTGGTTAGTTTTGTAGAACAGGCGCCTCAATTTACACCATGGACCAAAAGAGCCATCAGGTTCAAAATATATGCAGCCGATGATTATAGACAGGGTGAAGGATAAGCACTGAACAAACGGAGGAATAGCTTCCACTCTCATTCGGCAGTGAACAAAGTGTACAAGCTGCCATGTTGGAATTAGAATTATTATATTATATTCTCTATTTTCTCTATATTTGTTTGCATTAACAGAAGAGGAAGGGGACAGCAAACCTATTGATCTTACTTATATCCTGGTCCAATTGCCAAACCTGGTAAGAATCTAGTGCTGGCAGGATTTTTTTTCATATCTCTTTCCCCCACTTCTTTTCCTGGTGTTTTGATTTTCAACTTTTGGTCTGCAGCCTAGCTTAATTCTGGTCTTTGTAAACGGTTTTTATCCCTTTTATTAAAACTTAATATAACATAAAATACAATGAAAACAAACATTTTTAAAAAGAGAGGGAATAATAATAAAAAAGGCGGGTGGCGGGAGAGAAAAAAAGAGAGGAAAAAAAGAATTTGACTTTGACTATGTTGGCCCTTTCCAACATAGTAAAATATGTTAAATATATTTACAATCTCGTGCTCGCTTCGGCAGCACATATACTAAAATTGGAACGATACAGAGAAGATTAGCATGGCCCCTGCGCAAGGATGACACGCAAATTCGTGAAGCGTTCCATATTTTTTCTTTCTATCTTTTCATGTAGTTTAAGATATTTTGTGGAGTTAGAGATATTAGTATTTGCTTACTTTTATATGAATATTATCCTGGGATTAGGTTTGGGAAGTCCGGGGGGGTGGGTGGGGGTTTTTTTCTGGTTATTGTGTTTACTTATGTTATGATTGTTTTTTATGATGGAAAAAAAAATAAAATTTCTTTAAAAAAAATATATATATTTACAATCTCTACTTTTTTATTATCTATAATTATTACAAACCATTTCTATAACTACACAATTATTAAATCTTCAAATTAATTTCTATTTCATTTTTTTCTATTTCAAGCACAAAAACAAGAAGCAATATCCCAACAGAAACAAAGGCAAATAAAATCTCTTTGTTTAAAACAGTTTGCATTGTCATCTTAACCAAATCCATTTTCCCGTTGTGGGAAATGATATATATTTCTATTTACACTTATTAAACTATCGTCTATATTAACAAAAATCACTGTATTCTTCCAGAATCTTTGATGTTAAATGGAGAACTATTTTATATGGTTTAGAACTTTAAACATTTCTTTAAAAGTTTCAACTTTATTACCTAAAATCAATTAATTCTGGTATGTCTTTTTAACTTCCTTTTTACATACATACTATCAAGTTCACTTTCAATAATAGTTTGCATACTTTTACATCATTACTCAAGCATTATACATACTTTCCAAATTTAATTTCAGTATATTAACTTTAGTAGTCACCCATTCATCCCATGTTCAAATCCACTTTATAAGGACAAAACAATGCATTAGAACAGACATGTCAAACACAAGGCTGGGGGGCCGGATGCGGCCCACAAAGTGGTTTCATGTGGCCCGCGAAGCCATCCTGGAAACAGTGAGGGAACGGCCCCCTCTGCCTTGGCCCTGGCCCAGGCCAGCCGGGAGCCAATGTACAATTTTGTGGTGGCCATCTATGCTGAAACGCATTCAGTCTTAGCTCCACAAGGCTGTCTGGAAACAGTGAGGAACCAGCGCCTGCTGTATCGGCCCCGCACCCTGGGTGCATGCTGGGGAGGTGTCACCCTTTGTGAGGAATGAAGAAATGCACCATCGCCTGGGCCAGCAAATGGCCCTCGCCTACTTCACATATCCGGCTTGATGGGCTCTGGTGGAGGGGTTTCGGCAGGCAGTGGGGCACTCTCCTCACAGCACCAAGAGCTGAGCCGGGTGGCGCAAATCTGATGAGAAGTGCAATGCTGCCCAGCCCCCAGCTTGCCCAGTTTCAGCAGGCAGCAAAGTGCAAAGCTGGCGAGCTTTGCACCGCCCAGCTCAACCTCTCGGCGCTGTGAGGAGAGTGCCCCGCTGTCTGCCGAAACTGGGCAAGCTGAGGGCTGGGCGGCATCGCGCTTTTTGGATTTGTGCCGCCCAGTTCGGCCTCTTGACACTGTGAGGAAAGCGCCCCACTGCCTGCTGAAACTGGGCAGGCTGGGGGCTGGGCGGCATTGCGCAGGTAACGTTGACTCTCACGCTGCTCATGGCATCCCCTCCCCCAGAGCCCACCAAGCCAGATACGTGAAGTAGGTGAGGGCCATGTGTTGGCCACTTTCAGGCAATGGTGCATTTCTTCATTCCTCACGAAAGGTGATACCTCCCCAGCTACATTTCTTGCCTGTTTGTCTCCCTCCCTCATCTCAAATATTTTCCCACCACTCTGTACTTAGGAAAGGAAGGAAAGAAGGAAAAGGAGGGTCTGAGGAAAGTCCTGCCTTAGTCCTGCCCTGCTGCCCTTTAACCATCCCCTTGCCCCCTCTTCCTGGCCTATCCTGGTGGTCACCCATCCTATTGCTAAGGAAGCTTTGGATACAAAGCTGGGTCTCCTCCTATGGAGAGGGAATGGGCCTCCCTCTGACTTTGCCCTCGTACCCATCATGAGCAACCTGGGTAAGGAGAGCAAGCACAGCAGCAGCAGCCTTGAGGAGGAGGTAAGTGCAGCTGGGTGCCCCCTTGGGGAAGTGGGGCTGGGCTTGGTGTCGCGGGTGCTCAAGGGCCAGGCTGGGCATTTGACCTCTGCTGTCCAGGGCTCCCGGCAGCCTGCACCACCATCCAGCCCCCCCCATGCATGGCCTGAGAGGAACAGTGAGGCTCCTCCAGT